ATCATAGGTATACCTCAACTATGAGAGACAAAATGAGAAGAAAAAAAAATCCAGAAAATCACATTGTAGGATTTTTAAAGAATTTATTTGCAAATTATGGTGGAAAATAAGTATTTGGTCAATAACAAAATTTCATCTCAATACTCTGTTATATACCCTTTGTTGGCAATGACAGAGGTCAAACGTTTTCTGTAAGTCTTCACAAGGTTTTCACACACTGTTGCTGGTATTTTGGCCCATTCCTCCATGCAGATCTCCTCTAGAGCAGTAATGTTTTGTTGTTTTTTTCTCATTTTGTCTCTCATAGTTGAGGTATACCTATAATGAAAATTACAGGCCTCTCTCATCTTTTTAAGTGGGAGAACTTGCACAATTGGTGGCTGACTAAATACTTTTTTGCCCCACTGTATATAGAATAATAACGTAGAATAATAACATAATATATATATTTTATAATGACATTCAGTATATAATAACATAATATAATATAATATAATTTTTCAACCATTTGATGGCATTCAATGTACACAATTTATAGTATATTATTAAAAATCATATTCATAAAAAATTAACAGGCAGACCATTAATATTCTGATATTTTAATTAAGATGTGAAATCAATTTAATTTATATGTAAGACTATACACATTTAATTTATTCCTTGATGCAAAGTTGAATTTTCAGCAACATTACTCCAGCCCTCAGTGTGATATGATACTTCAGAAATTATTCTAATATGCCGATTTGTTACTCAAGAAATATTTCTTCTTATTATTACATTTTTAAAATAGTTGTGCAGTTTAATATTGTGATACTTTTTTTCAGGATGTTTTGATGAATCGAAAGTTCAAAAGCATAAAACACTGGACAGTTTAAATTGTTTCACACATTAGTTTTCACAATTTAATGTTTCACAATCAAACATCATGTTTTCTACACAGAGACTGCATTAAAATATCTATTTCTTACTGCTCTCGAACTCACAAGCTGTGCGACAAGATCAGTATATTATTAAAAATCATATTAATAAAAAATGAACAGGCAGACCATTAATATTCTGATATTTTAATTAAGATGTGAAATCAATTTAATTTATATGTAAGACTATACACATTTAATTTATTCCTTGATGCAAAGTTGAATTTTCAGCAACATTACTCCAGCCCTCAGTGTGATATGATACTTCAGAAATCATTCTAATATGCCGATTTGTTACTCAAGAAATATTTCTTCTTATTATTACATTTTTAAAATAGTTGTGCAGTTTAATATTGTGATACTTTTTTTCAGGATGTTTTGATGAATCGAAAGTTCAAAAGCATAAAACACTGGACAGTTTAAATTGTTTCACACATTAGTTTTCACAATTTAATGTTTCACAATCAAACATCATGTTTTCTACACAGAGACTGCATTAAAATATCTATTTCTTACTGCTCTCGAACTCACAAGCTGTGCGACAAGATCCCTAAATGACACAACACAGCAGCATGAGCATATTTAAAGTCACTAAATTGATTTAGAATAATTATATGTTCTCCCCACTGAAAAGGGAAAAGTGGATGTCTATGCTATTTGTGACCTCGGACCACAAAACCAGTCACAAGTGTCAATTTTTCAAAATTGAGATTTGTACATCATCTGAAAGCTGGATAAATAATCTTTCCATTGATGTACGGTTTGTTAGGATAGGACAATAATTGGTTGAGATACAACTATTTGAAAATCTGGAATCTGAGGGTGCAAAAAAAATTCAAAATATTGAGAAAATCGCCTTTAAAATTGTCCAAATGAAGTTCTTAGCAATGCATATTACTAATCAAAAATTAAGTTTTAATATATTTACGGTAGGAAATTTACAAAATATCTTCATGGAACATGATCTTTACTTAATATCCTAAAGATTTTTGGCATAAAAAAAAATCTATAATTTTGACCCATACAATGTATTTTTTGGCTATTGCTACAAATATACCCCAGCGATTTAAGACTGGTTTTGTGGTCAAGGGTCACATTTATAATAGTTAGTGTTGGTTTAGTGCTGTTTTAGCCATACTTTTCACCTGACTGATAGGAAGACTAAGGGAAACTATTTGGTTAAGAAGTTTAGAAGCCTAATGGAAACACCAGTACACCAGAAATGTGTTACCTTTGTCCGAATTAATGACCACCGTGCTACTTCCTCACTCACACACGAGCACATTACCGTTTTAATGAGTTTTAATGAGTGATCATCAGGCACTTGAACTGATTTTTTGGACAGAGAGGAAAACTACAAAATCACTGTGTCAGTGACAGCACAAATGACAAGAGAGACACGATACAGACAGACACAGAGACACTTGCCTGGTGGTAATTGTCATTCATGAGCTTAGCTGTGACACATCGATTTGACATTAGAACTTGACCTGACATTAAAACTGGATTTGACATTAAACAAACACACACACACACACACACTGTAATAGTTAAGAGTTTAATGACTCGTCAAATTCTAGGAATCGCACACTAATAGTTGACTGATTTGTCACTCACCCAGCCATGACGATAAAGAGGTCAAGGCGGTTCCAGGTGTCGCCAAGGTAACATTTCGGACCAAATATGCCCAAGGCCAACATTTTAACCACCATCTCCACAGCAAAGAATGCAAAGATAAAATCATCAAAGGCCTGTGGAGAGAAGAACCACACAGCGCTCATGGATACATTACAATAAGAAAAGTGAAACAGCTGTCATTTCATTTAAAGTGCATTTTAATACTGGTCTAATTAAAAAAGTTTCCTCTTTAAACCTGATTTGTTCAATTAGTCTAAAAGCAAAAAACATTTCCTGTAGAAAAAATTAAAGAAACAATTTAAATAGAATTGTTTCAATTCTATTGTTTAAATTAACTACCCAGATCTGGGTAGTAACTGATTATATGTAGTCTGGATTACGTAATCAGATTCCAAATATTAAGTAATGTTAAGGTTAATGGTCACATTGACATGTGGGTAAACAAGTCAAATAAAAAAAAGTCTTTACAATTTTTGTTTATTTTACATTTTATGATTTAATTAATTATTCGATTTTTATCGACTCACAAACCCACTGCAGTTCTCACATTAAGCATTGTTTGGGAAACCCTGGAATAATGTAATATTTAATGCATTTTATGATGTTAATATAATTTTTTTTATATATTTTGTTTCTCTTACTTTTTTATATCAATATGCTTAATGGTAAATTAGATGAAAAATAATCTAAAAGTAATCTAAAAAGCAGTCAGACTACATTAACTAAAACGAGTAACCTAAATTATGTTACTAACTACAGTTAGTAATCAGTAATCAATAATGGATGACAATTTGTAAGTAATCTATCCAGCACTGACTACTATTTTTCTACAAATGTTTGCTGAATGGCAGAGGCAGGCTAAACACATAATAAATACGTTATTATGAAAAAAATGTGACTTGTTCATGTTTCATTTTATTTATTTATTATTACTATTATTTCGCTTTTTTTCGCCAGAGCACCATTTGAGTCTTCTCCTCCCATTTCTACCAATGATGCTTGACTCAACTTCACACGTCTACTACCTGTGCAGATATCAACAGCGCAACTGGGTTGTAGGTTGCCAGGTTGAGGTCACAAATGGTTGAAATTTGTATGATGTGTCTATTGTTTGAGTAGGATGCATTTCATACAAGATCTGGCAACTGGACAACCTTAGAATAATATATTGATGTGATTGCTCATACAATGAGGTTTGAGCCATACAAATTATGGGAGTTTCCCAGGAGAAAAATAACAAAATGAGAGGGCGGCGGGATATGAGTGTGAAATAATCAAAGACTCCTGGCAAAAACGGGAGTGTTGACAGATATGCTTTAATGTTCTACTATGTTGGCATTTAGAACAGTAAATGCATGAAAATGCATCATGTCACATAATGTGGCCAAAAAACATATTTGGAGACTTCTGGACACCTACAATTGTCTTAATTGTACAACAAAATATCCCTGCAAGTGGCATATGCAAATAAATGATCTAAACTTCACTTTTCTAAACCATTTTTTTAATTATTTGCTTTCGACTAACTTTACCCAGGGTGATTATTAGCTGGTGTTTGAAGTCGGTTTCCCTCAAGTTCACACAGCTGTTCTAACAGAGTACCCACAGGTTTCGTCGCCTAATTGATCTCATTTAAAGCAGCACTTGTGTACAAAATTCACAGACTTCAACAATACATTTCAAGACAATCTCTGTCGGACTTCAAATTGCCTGTTGTGAGCAATGTTCCCGTCATTATGCAGATCCACAGGTTATTTGCAAGTTGTTTTGGAGAGATTACAGATACATATTTTTCCAGAGTCTGTCGCTGATGCTTCACGGTGTTGCTTGTGGGTTTTGGCATTTGGCATTTGAGAAGCACATAAACGCTTTCACGCTGCTCTGTATTGAAGTTTTTCTTGATAGGATTTTGAAAGATTTGTACAATAAATAGTTACAGTTATTTTACTCTACATCATAAAAATGTTATGACGTTTTATTCTACATCATAAAATACATCTGTAATACCCCCTTGTGATTTTTTTGAAGCTTTTCTTGAAAAAGTCACAAACTGACAAGTGGCTAAATGGGACAGAGTTTGCCGGGGACATTAAACATCACGCCGAACAGGTAAACTCATCTACTCACTAGTAGGGCTGTCAAAATGGCTGAAAAACTACATTCGAATTTTGTACTTAAATATGATCAAAATTCGAATTACATTCGAATTTAAAGGGGTCATATGATGTGATTTCAAGTTTTCCTTTCTCTTTGGAGTGTTACAAGCTGATTGTGCATAGATAAGATCCCTGAAGTTGCAAAGACTAAAGTCTCAAAACCAAAGAGATATTCTTTATCAAAGTTAAGACTCTGCCACGCCCCCCTAAAACGGCTCGTTCTAACACGCCCCCACATATCTACCTCACTATGTGGAAATATTTGCATAATGCCGCCCAAATGTGCACGCAAAGAAAGAAGGCGTGGTTTCAGTAACCGCAGTTAGTGTTGAAGCAGCCATGTCAGGGAGACGCTGTGTGTTTCTAGGCGAAAGCAAAAGCACTTTATTTGGCCTTCCGAAAGTTTAAAATAATATTTATAAACCAGTTATAATTAATTAAGTTGCTTAAACAACTATAAATTGTATGTATGCATAGTTTAATACAAAGGGAGGAAAGCCAATCACACAGAGTACATCTTTCATTTAAAAACATGAGATGCAGTGGGATGGGGGAAAAATCCCCACCATTAAGTGTCGATATATATATTTTTTTCAAAGTTAAACTTGCATTAATTTTACATGGCTTTCTAAACACGCGGCTCTTTTGTGCGAGACGCGAGTGCAACAATAATAGATGTCCGTCTAGAAAATGCGTGCTCTCTTGTGTGAGACACGAGTGCAACAGTGATAGATGCCCCTCTAGAAAATGAGCGAAATAATGTGTTCTGTGTACAGTTTTGATGTAAACAAGATGTTCTCTTTTTCCGCAATATTTTTAATGAACAACGCAGCAGCGCCACATATAGTGGCTTCAACTGGATATGATAACAAAAACATTATAATGCAACGACACTTACATCGTCATCGCATCTCATGCGCCGCTGATAAGGCTGCCTCCTTAACGCACACCTAAAATTCGAATGCAACGTTTTTGCATTCGAATGTGGATTTTTATTTTTAATTCGACGAATATTCGAAATTCGAAGTTTTGTTGACAGCTCTACTCACTAGTCTGCTTTTAGAGAGACTCATTGTGTTTATAATCATGCTCTTGCAAACTATTCCAAAATGTTTTAAATAAAGACTGAAAGTGTTGTTGGTGAAGTCATGTGACCGTGTGTAGTTCATTTATAGTCTACATTTAACTTTTTATTCTGACAATTGTATTTAGCCTTCAAAATTCATAAAAGTTGTGTTCATTTGTGAAGATTATCAAGAACAAAATGCAAAGAATCAGAAACGTTGTTGTTCACAAAGCTAATTTGAGCAAAAATCTAAAAGCCGTTGGAAAAATCCTACTGGGTTTGTGTCAAGCGAACCAGGATGATATGGAAGCTTGTTTCAGCCACAGGATAAAAAACAAACAAAAAGAAAAATGTTTTAGACTTTTTTTCAGAATTGAGAGATAAAAAGTCATAATTACCTTTTTATCCTGTGGCAGAAACAAGCTCACATAGAGTAATGCTAACTTCTGGGTTGGCCTACAAAAATATGCCATCACTGCACTTGCTTGATATGTGCATTTCTGCAAATACCACTTAGTTTGATATTTTGTTTTATGTAATCCAATGGAACATTTTAAATGTGGCTTAAATGTCTAACTCTTCAGGCTGCTGTTTGCATTTATTATATGTTTGTGTCTTTGAATGCTTTTTCCCCCCCAACCAGTCAATCAAAACAACAGGCAGAATCAAGGCCTCACAGAGATGAAAGTCTTTAGGTAATCAATCCACGTGTGTCTGTGTTATGTAAGTGTGTGTTACCTGCAGGATGCTGCACCTGTCAGAGTGGCACTCCAGGTCTTGGCAGGGCTGGAACATGCCGAGCGTGACGCAGTTGAGCAGAATCACCAGCATGCTCACTCGCTCAAACCACGTAGAGCTCCAGTTAAGGTCAATACAGCTCACAAGGAAATCTTTCACATTTCACTTATTTGTTTTCAGCGTCAGAACTAGAGTCAAGAGATTTTATTTGTCTGTTTCTGCAAACTATGAAAAAACTGACTGCACAAATTGTAAAATCTTTCTTAAATAATGAAAATAATTGACTATTACATTTTTTGTATAGTGCCAACAATGAAGAAACAGAAAAGTGGCTTTAAACAAAACCTGTTTATTTCTGTCTGTCCTGTTTATATAAATACTGTATAATGTTTTCATTTTCATTTTTCATTCACTCTTGAGTAAAATGGAGTGTCTTAATACAGTTTAGCTGTTCAAAGCAAAACATAAACATACACTACTGTTCAAAAGTTTGGGGTCAGTAATTTTATTTTATTTTACAATGAAGCGTCTTATGCTCTCCAAGGCTGCATTTATTTGCTGAAAAATACAGCAAAGATTATATAAAAAATTAAACATGTATTTTAATATATTTAAAAATTCAGCAGCCTTTACTTCAGTGTCAGTCTTCAGTGTCACATGATCCTTCAGAAATCATTCTAAAATGTCTTAACTTTTATTTATTTTTTTCATGCTTGCATAATTTGCATCATAACACTTATGATCCTGTACTGTATCCTGTTTTGAGTAATGCTGCAATATTTTCCCATCACCAACTGATAGATCAGAACAGAAGCTTTTTAACATACAGCTAACAAAAAAGTGAAATAGATGGAACTGAGCATGAATAATGTATTTGTAGATTAATAATTGATTTTGTTCTCAAGAAGGTTGAAATAATAGAATTTGAATTGCATAAAAAGCCATCATAATGCCTGCTTTAATAAAACATCTTTTTTAATATACTCAATTCCTGTTTGTGACCGTAAACCATACAACATAATAAAATGCAATAAAGCCATTTTGTTTTCATATGGGTCTAATTAAAAACTGCAATTACATTTTCACATTACAGTGCACTGATCTACACACATACCTGCCGCTGTAAAGGCAAACTCAGCCCCGCAGGCCCCGTGATCAGACCAACCACTTTACCTCATTAATCATAAACCTGCCACAGAAACACACTGTTCACACCATCTCAATCACCACCGTAAATCCTGCAATTATCCTCATTTACATCAGGATACACCACACCTCACTTACAACCCAATTAGGATTTAAAAAGCTTCTATAAACCCTAAAGACTATATCCATCTGAGTCTCAGAGCAGCTTTTAACAGACGAGAGGGACGTGTTCAGGCCCCTGCTGTTTCCTCAGGTCTCTGTCTAACCAAAACCCTTCTGGAATTCCAGCAGACTTCCCTCTCGCTAGAACTGGGACAGCGTTCCCCTCATCAAACATTTATCCAGAGCCCACACTAATACACACAGACAACTCCAGCTCTCGTCTCTCATCCTCAAGATTGTTGTGGTCACATTCATGCCACTTTGGCTGAGGATAATGATGATGGTGATAGAGAACAGAAATGGGATGGATAAGGTGATGGAAATCTTCACAAATGCAAAAGCAGTACTGCCATCACTTCATATGCACATGCACAAACCAGAGTTGGCGAGTAAACTTCATGATGTTCTTTCTTCTACAGAACACAAAAGAAAATATTTTGAAACATGCCTCTCTTTTTTTTTGGGCCATACTATGAAAGTTAGTGGGGTCCAATAGGGTTTTGAAACAGGTTTTCATTATGTAGTTTAAAAGATTTATTTTGTGTTCTGCAGAAGACCACATTTTCATTGTTGGGTGAACTATCCTTACTTTAATTTATGTGTATCTTGTAGCACAGCAAACTACCGTTTCAAATATATTTCCCAATACTGCAGTGTTGTTTTCCCTTTCTCTACTTGAAATAAAGCTGAAATAAAAGATGAATATATAAAATATAAAATTAAACATAAATATAAAATTTAAAAATCAGAAATATCAGAAGAAAATGCAAAGTGTTGCACTGGCAAATAATTGAAACTAATTAGGTAAAGCTGAAGTACTAAAAATACTAAAAATGAAATGAAATAAAAGCTAGATAGAAATATTTATAAAATAAATAAAAATGATAAAAGCACATAGCAAAATTACTAAAACTTCAACTGATTTTTTTTTTAATTATTCAAACTGAAAATATTAATAAATAGTATAAAAATAATACTTAAGACAAGACTTGAAAGTTTTTTCAGGCAATGGTCAATTCTAGTGGTGTAACGATTCACTCATGGTGCAGTACGATTCACAATAATCAGATTTTATTACAATTTTTTGTTACAAAATGAGATATAAGACAAAAATAAACGGGTATCCTATTATTCCTCAGACAAAATGCTGCACATTTCTTTGTAAAATTTAAATATGTTAAATAACAAAACTAAAAATAACAAAATTTTTCATATTCTGAAGATTTTGTTCGTATAACAGTCACCTGATTTATTTAACTTTTTATTCGTAAAAATATAGTGCGTTTTTTTTCCGACTGTTGACAATATTTTCTGATTTATAGATAGATAAAGAGTAACTGCATGAAAAATTCTTTGAACCTGACTTTTTTTTGTTCGCAAAATGTATGCAAAATGGTGCACATTTAATTAGATAATGCCTCATTTGCATATTTCAGAAAACTCGTAATATTGTCTTAATGTACTGTAATTAATCAACTGGGGAAGTATGGCGACATCTATTATTTAAAAATGTCACCCTACAGTATACACTCTTACAAATAAAGGTTCTTTATTGGCATCAATGGTTCTATGAAGAACCTTGAACATCCATGGAACCTTTCAAACGCAGAAAAGGTTCTTTATAGTCAAAAAAGATTCGTTAGATTTTTTAAATGTTCTTCAAAATGGTTATTTTAACTGTTCACTGAAAGGTTCTTTGGGGAACCACAAATGGTTCTTCTATGGCATCACTGCAAAAACACCCTTTAGGAACCTTTATTTTTAAGAGTGTATTCACCTGTAGTGTCTTGCCTTAAATAACACTGACACAATATAAACACAGAGATATGCTTTAGCCTCAAAATGCCAAATGAAAGCCTGGAGTACTCTGTCATAACACATTTAAAAATTAGCAACTCACCCTCGCATCAAATTAGTGGAATTCAAAGTCATGTACTCCTCGATCAGGTTGAAAACACAGATATGAGATTTCTTGAGATCTCCAGGGCCTAATGTGCTGGAAACACACTGATTTGGTTTCTGGCAATATGGTCATAACCCCATTCCTCCAGGGATTCTACAGCACAAACTGAAAAACTTACTTCATAGTGCACAGAAGTTTTCATGCAATTGTGTCACACAATTGTTTTTAACATTGATAATAATCATAAATGTTTCTTGAGCAGCAAATCAGCATATTAGAATGATTTCTGAAGGATCACATGACACTGAAGCAATGATGCTGAAAATTCAGCTTTGCATCACAGGAATATATTACACTTTAAAATACAAAATAGTTATTTTAGACAGAATTGCTGTTGTACTATTATTGAACAAATAAACTTCATAAGCATAAGTAACTTATTTTAAAAAATTAGAAACGCAGAGCCCACCATTGAATGGTACTGTATATGAATCCAGAAACAAATTTGGTATGCATCATTATTTATTGACATGTCTAAGACAGTGCATTCTGGGAAAAACTAGGACTGTGCATGTGCAGACAGTGTGTAATCGCTGCATGTGGATGGATCGTGTTTGCGCAAGCGCATGCAATGTGCTTATTTTTATCTTCTTGAGGTGCATCTGAATCCAAACATAAACAAAGCGCACATACTGTATACACACACCGCGTACGCTCATTATCCTGATTACTCCAACAAACCATAATACACAACTGTTGCTATGGTTGCTTAGTAACAGTTTGGTGGCTTTTGATGAGAAGTGAAGAAAAAGACAGCTGAAAAGCTGAGGGCTCAGTGGGTTTCATGCACTTCAAGTCAACATATTTAAAAGGTCATTTCATGCCAGGGCGATATAGGAAAACAATCTGAAAGTCCAAAATAAGAGGATACACACACACACACACACACACACACAGATGATTCTTATGACTCAATGCAATCCTGTGACCATGAAGGCCAATGAACTAAAACAATAGTGCTTACACAAGGCAGGTAGCACTGTATTAATATTCCTAAAAACTTTCTGGTTACGAGTTTATTTTAAACCACTAAACACAAATTAAAAACTTTTGCAATTAATTCAGTGCAAACCACTTTAACTGAATCACTTTAACTGAACTATTTCTGGATTTTTGTCCATGCAGGGTAATTTTTATTATTAGTTAACTAAAACTAAATCTAAAATCATATACTACTAAAACACACACACACACAGGTTTGTTTTTATGAAAAGTGGGGACATCCCATAGGCGTAATGGTTCGAAGGCCAATGAACTAAAACAATAGTGCTTACACAAGGCAGGTAGCACTGTATTAATATTCCTAAAAACTTTCTGGTTACGAGTTTATTTTAAACCACTAAACACAAATATAAAACTTTTGCAATTAATTCAGTGCAAACCACTTTAACTGAATCACTTTAACTGAACTATTTCTGGATTTTTGTCCATGCAGGGTAATTTTTATTATTAGTTAACTAAACCTAATCTAAAATCATATACTACTAAAACACACACACACAGGTTTGTTTTTATGAAAAGTGGGGACATCCCATAGGCGTAATGGTTTTTATGCTGTACAGATCGTATATTCTATTGCCCTACACCAACCCTACCCCTAAACCTACCCCTTACAGGAGACTTTGTGCTATTTCAGATTTTCAATACACTCCATTCTGTGTGATTTATAAGCGTTTTGAAAAGGGGGGACATGGGGTAATGTCCTGAAAAGTCACCTTCTCCTTGTAATACCTATGTCATACCTTTGTCATTATACAAATTGATGTCCTCATTTGTCACAAAAACGCGCGCACACACACACACACACACACACACACACACACACTGAAAACTAAAATTAA